AGTGGCATGTGACCATGGTGCCATGTGACCATGGTGCCATGTGACCATGGTGAGCACTACTGTGTGGCACAGACTTACTCTTCCTAGCACATTTTCAAAATGTATCCTAAAAGCTGACAGTGACACAGATTGTAGTTTCCACATAGATCTACCAATGGCAATGGCAATGCCAATGGCTTACCTTGAACGAAGAAGCCCCCCCCCCCCCCCACCCTCCATACACACACACACACACACACACACACACACACACACACACCACACACACGCACACCGGCGCACACACGCACACACACTTGTCCTGTCCTGTAGTCACTGCCGCAAAAGGGTCACGTGATCCCATCAATGGGAAACTTGACAAGAGAGAGAGAGGACACGACGCTCGATGACGCTCCAGGTGCACGGGTAGTCGCATCCGCTTGCCGCATATGCACACGTGCTGGAAGGCTGAGCGCTCCTCTGCTGTTGGTCTATGCGCCACCCTTGAACAGCGATGCCTTCCCCGTCCCCGGACACCGCGAAAGCAGCGACCACACCTGTCACAATACGCGGCACAACATCCCTCCGCCGGTGCCGACGTTCCGGTAGTTCCAGGTGGCACTGCGGTATCCACCGTTGAGGCAAACACATGCCGGACCAAGCCACCGCCCACACCGCCCGCACTGACTGGCGCCCCGCCGCTCAGACACAGGCCGCGCACGCTCCTCCAGACACTTATGCCGAGCCATGTCTCCTTTCCGTGCAAAATCCCGTCCGCATACCGTACATACCACTCGGGGCGGAGACTCAGGCACATTGTCAGGCTCTTGGTAGGTGCTGCGCCACTCCGCGCGAGACTCACATGCAACATCATACCATGATGCCTCCACGCCACGGGCACGTAGATCCCGGACAGCACAGTCCTTCCATCTGCGGCGTGGGCCATGTGCTGGGCTACGCTGCAAGAAGGAGCCAAACAGTACCTGTTTTGGGATGCGGTTGTCCGGCATCCGCGCCACATGCCCCAACCACTCCAACCGCCGATGTGCAATTTTGTCTTTAATCGTCTCGGAGTCTCCCCAGCGCACCAGCAGCTCTTCGTTGGTGATGTGTTCGTCCCACATCCGGCTTCGAGAGACCCCGAGGATGGATCGGATGCACCTCATGCTGAAGGTTGAGAGCTTCTGCAGGTCATGCTGAAGGGGCGTCCAGCACTCAGAGCCATACAACAGCAGGGACAGAACGCAAGCATTGAATACGCACCGCTTGGTGTGCATCAGCAGATGTGGATTGGAGAATACAGACCTCCGAAGAGCACCGCAGGCCCTGGAGGCTTGGGCAATCTTGCGGGGATGTCCCGGGACGAACGGCAACCGCTGTCCACTACAGAACCGAGGTATTTGAAATGCGGTACGCATTCCACCTCCGCTTGACCAAGTTGGAGGGGAGCGCGGACGCACACACACACACACACACACACACACACACACACCTCCGTGGTCGGTAGAGCCCCGGTCTTCACGACCATCTGAACCGTATGGATGTTAGACCCGCTTCTGACCCTCTGTATTCTAGGGGAGTTGTCGTAGTTTTCTTGTTGTTGTACCGTCAGTCGTGTATTCTTTGTTCGCTCCTGGATGTTATCCCAAACCGGGTCTAGCACCTATACGGTTCAGATGGTCGCAACAGACCGGGGCTCTACAAACCGTGGATGGTTGTAGTAAGATCACTGTTTCCGAACACGGTGGTCTCCACCTTGTAACATGCTGTCAACCAACAACATGTTTCAACAAAACAAGGTTAATCTGATACTCAATCTGCAGACAGAACTGTTTCCTAATATGTATGGACAGAGTACAATGCAAACATGTATGCCACAGAGTACAATGATGCAAACATGCATATAATTATCAGCCCCAGTGCAAAACACAGTCAACGTTGCGAAGAGCGCGACCCTCACTCGGCCATGAGAAAAGTGTTGTAATATTTTGTTATTTGTAACTTGGAAATTGTGGGCACAAGTTATGCGATCGAGTCCACCAACTGAACCAGATTTTGAACAGTCAGTCAGTCGATCGCTAAACTGGTGGCCACAACTTCCATGTTACAATTTGTTTCCTTGGCTCACCATCTGAGTTCTATTTTGTTATTGTTTTGCGATTTAAAATCTAAAACTAGCTAGCTTCACTATGATAAGTAACAATAATGCAGGCTGGGGCTGGGACCTCCTGTAAAGTAATGCCTTGTACATATGTTTGGCCCCGATACTCGCTTCTCCTGGATAGTGGCATTTTTGCACTCCCATGCACTGTTGTTGCTAGCACCTGCAATTACATGTACATGTATGTACATGTATTGTGTACGCATGTACATGCACGTGCCATGGCCAGATCAACCGGAGCGGTTCCGCCGGGCGCCGGGCCTGCTTGGTCTGAATAATTATGATAGTTTTGTTATTAGCGAGATAGTGTTATGATCCGAGGTTGTTATTCTCAAGGTTCACCACTAACAAGAATATCGGTAAAGGCTAATGATTGCCATGATTAATCCACACCATTTTCCATTGTCGACATGTCTGCATCTAAAATAATTTTTGTCCTCCTTTTTTCACCATAAAATAATTCTGCAGCACTTTCTGGGAACGTTTCGCCATTCTCATAGAGGATATGACAGCCTAGTATTAAAAATGTAGGAATGCTTTTCACACTAAGTTATTCTTGCCACCGCCCGTGACAAGCCTTGGAAATGCCTGCACTCGCCTACACCAAGAGTACATAACCCCCCAGAGTGTGCAACTCCACTATGCATGGGTGCTGTCCCGACAGAAATTCAAG